CAAAATGATCCTTAAAGTTCCAATTTAATAAATCAGACATCTTAGCATTGTGCTGTGGAATCCCAATTCTGGATGTTACATCAGATTCCCACCCAGTTGAAAGTTCATGATCTTGTCCCCACACCCACAAATCCATCACATGGTCCAATCTTCTGGTTCCGCGCTGGCATCTCCACCCAGCTGGTTCCGGTCAGGTGCAGCGGTGCGGAGACAAAAGATGACCTTGGTCTTCTAGAAAAGAATGACAACAACACATTCCACAATCCTACTCCTTTCTATTCCCCCCTCCCATCAACTACACTAATGAAACAGCATAATGAAATAACAGAAAGTGTGGCAGGCCAAAGATCCTAACAGGAATATAATTGCAGGCCTGACAGTAAGGATTAAACTACTTGGAAATGATACTTGCATGATAAATTCTTATCATTTTTATTATAAAGATGTGTGTTAGAATCATGAAGTTGGAAGAGTCTAACCCCCTCTTCAGGATAGGAATTGCAGTCAAACACAGGATAGGAATTGCAGCCACGCATATTCCTGCAAAGAAGGAACTCCTGTAATAATTGCTAAAACTGCTCTTACTTTTACCAAGTTTTTCCTACCATTCAACTGGAATTGGTTTGGACAACATTTAAATCTGCTGACACTTTTTTAAATGTCGTCTCAGCTTTGAAAGACAGAAAGCAGCACAAGGCAACTACAGGCCAATTACCTGATTATAAATACATTTTAAATTGCTTACTGATGTAGTAACTGATGCAGTCCAACAGCATCTAGTTGCAAACAAAGTCCGTCCGTCCCCCCCCCGCGACCAGAAAGGAAACTTTTGAAAGATTTTGAAAACTGCAAGATTAAAAAGAACATGTTGTGTCCGCTGCTTCGCAGCCGTGGCCACATACAAGATGTTGCTGATTGGTTGTTCCGCAGGAGCAAAAGCAGGAGATTTGCGGCTCGCTGATTGGTTGCTGCCTGACAGCCGCTGCTTTCTAAAGCGTTGTCAGACGGGGTTCTGTTCTCTCATTGCCGTTCGCCTTTACTGTTGCTTGTGAGTTACTGGTTATCTGTTATAAAGGGATCGTTTTGAGCAATACTGTCTCACCTCAG